TAAACATTCTTATTACACAAAATAGAGTTTAATAGTGTTATAAAAACCTCGGATATTTCCAGTAAGATATCTTTAATCATTTCTTAAATACAACGGTTCAAAGCTTTATCTAACAATTGAACAACTTCGCTGTTACACCCGGTATAGCCGGAGCACCAGACCAAATATGTCAGCAATATTCAATGCACAGGTGAATGGTAGATTTATTAATATGCAAGATGGATTCTGGCGAGAAAATATTGCCTTGTACTCCCCACTGAGTCATTCTTCTTAACAGCAGGCCATTTCAATAGAATCACTCCATTTCATGTCAGTAGAAAATGTGAAACAATGAATAGAAGATAGCATTAATCATATGAATTTTCGTTATTATCACTTGTGTAAGATGCGGGATCTGACCAGTACTTAATCTGAAATATTCACTATATTGATTGATTCATTTTCTACGGTTTATCAACCCTATGCGTGTTATTTAATGACAGAAAACACTTTTAGACAGTAAGTATTTTCTTCTTCTTTTTTGAGATATATATATATATATATATATATATATATTGCTAAACTAACTTCAAATGTATACCCATCTCTCTCACGTGTATATAAATGTAAATTATTTTCAGAAGGAGTAATCCGTAAATGAAAAAATAATTAAACTATTCGGGTCTCATGGTCGAAAAACAAACGTTATAAATATATTATATATATTGCCATATATATATATATATATATATATATATATATATATTATATATATTTACTGATAGAATTCCTACTAATTAACCCATACCTGGGGAGAAGGGAAGAAGTATATTCATACCTTTCTTTAGGGTGTTTCTGCGTATGTGAATACAACAAACCCAACGTGAACCGAAACTCGGATCTCCGACCAACAATTTCGAGCATTTCTCCCTCGCACCATCGAAGCTCATCAGCTGTTATCCTAACCAACGCCTTTATCTACTGGGCCATGTCCTCATGGACACATGGCTCAGTGGATAAGGACGTTGGTTAGATCTAGTGACTAGACCCAAAGAGTTGTGAGTTCAATACCAGGCTACAGCAGTGGTGTATCAAAAAGCTTTGAGTTAAAATAGTTGAGTTAAAAGGGATATAACCGCAACACCCGGAAGAGGCATGGCACGTGGAACTAGAACAATCTACCCTGGTGGACAAAATAAAGGGTTCGGTTCGAAATTCCAATTAGCCGAAGAAGGTCGGAGCGTACAAAGACCGAAATGTTGTGAATATTGCAATAAAGATGAGGACAACAGTCGGAATAATGTAAATAATCATAATACCTCATCTCAGAGATATAGACAGATAGTTATATTTTTTTTACTAAAGTTCAGCCAACTCAAAAGCGGAGAGCCGCTCAAGGTAGAGGATTAGCGTTAAAATGGCTTTAATTCTTGGCGAGATATGAGTAAAAGCGCAGGTGGTAGTATGTGAGGATTATGACGATAAAGACGATAAATACGATTGAGCATTGATTTGGAGAGTTTAAGATATTAATACTCACAGAATTATCTAGGCGGGTTTTTTTTTTCCACAGAATAGCATTTCTTAGGAAACAAAACTGAGTGAGTGGAAATATGAAATATAGAAGAAATGGGTGTGATTCGGCAAAGTCGAAGTAGCATAGCGTTTCATTATAATAAAGTTCTGAAATGGTGGAATTAAACAATGGCTGTTATCAGAACATTTACCATTCTTATGAGTTTGATATTGGCAGTTCATGTTTCACAAATAATGTTTTTACAATGCTAATATCTTTTTCTATATTTTTCATTATCTTCATTATTATTTCCGTTAATAGTGCCGTTTTAAAGTATTTCTATTTGAATAATTCATATCCATTTTTTTTCCTGTGGGTATTTCTTTGGTTTTGAGCACACAGAACAGTTTTTATGTTCCATAGATTCATTATTTTCATAAACGACTTTTTTTTTTCTATCGTAATTTATTCATTATTTTCGCGTTGGTAAATCTTAGTCGTCAGTTGTCATTTGTCATTTGATCTTTTCAATAATACACACACACACACACACAAATGCACACACACACACACACACATATATATATATATACATATGGGATTTTTTTATATAGCAAGAACAGTTTTGGAGGAAAGTAGAAAAAGTTTTCGTATGACACATTTCGTCCCTTAGGACATCATCGAACTAGGTGTGTTTAAATTGATGTGAGTACACATGCGCAGGAACGAGAAGCTATGAATTTTAAATTTTCAATAATTTTTACGCATATTAAGAAAAATTCTAAAATATAATTATAAGTATATATAATTATAATTATGGATAAATATATATTATATAATAAGTATATAATATAAGAAATTTCATTCAGATGAGCACCGTGGAAGATGGTAAGAACGTGAAAGCATATTTACTGTTGATGAACTAACGATTAAACCGATTTCAAAACATTTTCTTCTTAGTGAATGATATTCTTTTAATATATATGTTTCTCAATATATATATATTATATATATATATATATATATATGTATATATATATGTATATATATATATGTATATATATATATATATGTATATATATATATATATATATGTATATATATATATATATATATATATATATATATATATATATATGTATATATATATATATATATATATATATATATATATATATATATATATATATATATATATATATATATATATATATATATATATATATGTATATATATATATATGTATATATATATATATATATATATATATATGTATATATATATATATATATGTATGTATATATATGTATATATATGTATATATATATATATATATGTATATATATGTATATATATATATATATGTATATATATATATATATATATATATATATGTATATATATATATATATATATGTATATATATAACATATATATATACACACATATATACACACACATATACACACACAATATACACATATATATACATATATGATAGTCTGTCAATGTTTACATAGATGATTTCCTAAGCAACGATAAACACCGTGCATATAAGACGCTATATATGCGAAAATCACATATGCACCGCATCTCATGACGTCATATGACCACATATATGTATATTGGGGATATATAAGTATATAATATATATCACTATATCTAATCAATATATATCATAATTATTTTCCCTAAAATAATGCGTATATCTATATTAAAATATTGACAAAATTAAAAATGATATATTAACATATATATATATATATATATATATATATATATATATATATATATATATTAATCAAATTGATAAAATATATATGGCAAAACATCACAATTTATTCGACATAGCCGATGGAAGATTATTCATATTTCATCGAGTTTTAGAAAGATCGACATTACACATCCATGCAAAGCTGAGACTTGATGTGCTAAAGACTGATATCAAACATTAGATTTTTTAATGCATACCAATTTTAAGTATTTAGTTTGAAATACATCGTCCGAAAATATACAGAAATACCTTATTTCCGCACGTTTTGATAATAATAAACTAACCTTAAGTGTTACTATTTTCAAGAATAAATCAAAATAAAATTGATATCTTTTGTATTAGATAAATTGAATAGAAAATATATTCAAAACAGAATCTTTATTAAGAATCACATTACCAAAATATCGTTTTTTACTGTATTCAAGAAAGGAAAAAACTGAAGGAAAAAAGACGGAAAATAGTAGGAAATAAATAAGAACTTTTAAAAAAAGAAAAAAGGAACAGAAAAATAAAAATAAAAAATTGAGAGCGAGAAGAAAGATAAAAAAAAATGGAAAAACAAATAGAGATTTTTAAAAAAGCATTGTTTTAGAAAATCAAATAAAGTAGAACATTGAAAATCGAATAAAAGAAAAGTAAATTTCCTTTTGAAGAAAACGTACAACAAAAGAAAGAAAGAAAGAAAACCCAAGAAAGTCCAAATAATCTGCTATTTATATATTTGCATATGTATATATCTATTTGTATATATCTATAATATATATATATATATATATATATATATCCATATATTTGTATATGTATATAGTGAATTTATATATATCTGATATGTAGATATATATATATGACTAATATGTTGATCTATATATCCACAAAATCTCTATCCATATCTATATATAAATCTATATATATTTATCCATATAAATCCATAATCTATCATCTTTCTTTATATATCATCCATCCATAAGTATATATATATCCATAAAAATATATATATATATATATATATAGAAAAAAATAGATTATTATTATATGTAAGGATAAAATAATCTTTTAAAAAGGATACAGAATTATCACATCGATTAAAATTTTAGATAACTTTCAGTATGATAACATCTTACAGATGTGCAAGTGGGATTATCATTTCAACTTAGAGTTAAATAGATTCTTAGTGTTTAAAGGTGAGTGCAATAGTTTTATAAACACCTTGGAGAATTCCAATAAGATATCTTTCATCATTTCTAGCATAAAACGGTTCTAATCTTAATCTGACAATTAGAAATTTTCTAAATTTGGCCATTATACCCAGTACACACACACACACACATATATATATAGGAAATATTTAAGTAAAAGCAGCAATATGCAAAATATTAACACAAAAAAAGAGTGGGGCCTTTAAAAAAGCCATGGGTTTTCCACAGCGATTAAATAACATCGCTGGAAAACAGCCATTAATCAAAGTGGTGAGCGTCGGAAGAAAATGAAGACAAGGTGTGAATTTTAAAATGGGGGACGTTAAGTGAGGTCGTTTGGTGCAGAAGCTGGTTGTCTGAAAACGTTTTGTAAAAAACGACAAAACAGTGTACAAGATGAAGCAAGGAAACAGATGAGCGAAGGAAAAAAAGGAAAAAAAGATTTGTCAGGAAAAAAAAAAATAACTGTGATAGTAGTGTGAGCCGATGTCTTTTAATTATTCACTGCCGGCAGAAAGGTATCGTGTGAAGCCGATCAAAAGAGAAGTGACAAGAAAGATATCCCAAGAGTTAACAGGTTAGTAAAAAGGAAAATAAAATAAAAAGGATGAGAACAGAAAAAGGTGAAATCTGTAAAGACAAAAAAAGGATAAAGGAAATCACGGGAAGTGACAGGACACTGAGGGAGCGGGTGAGATAAAATAGATGCCAGGAAAGAAAGAAGCAGATTTAGAAAGAGAGAAGGGAAAAGAGATAGAGAGAGAGAGAGAGAGAGAGAGAGGCTAAGAGGAAATAGAGAGAAAGATAGATTTGTCACTCAGTTATGTGCCATGCGTGATACCCGCTCAGGCGATCATGTATCTTTCGATACATGGCTGACGAGGCAGTAGGTTGCCATTTCCTTCTGCGGTAGACCAGTTGCCATTTAAGGCTATAGAATCCGGTCTGTACTGCTATTTACCCATTTGGGGGAGAAGAAGATGATTCATACCTTTAGGAGGAGGAGAAGAGGATTCATACCTTTTAAAGGGTATTAGCATTAAGTGAATGTAATGGATTCACTGGAATTCGAGCTGCCATCTATTACATACCACCGTGCCTCAGGTTTTTAGGTGTCCCGGGTTGAAAAAGAGAAAAGAGAGAATCAAGAAACATCACTACTGGCAAGCCCACTGAGATGGGAATGAGAGAAAGACTTCGTGTAAGAAAAAAAAAAGAAAGAGAAAAATAAGGAATCATGGTTTGAGGAAGATAGTATATAAATATTTACAAGATTACTAAGAGGGGAGGAAAGAGAGAATCCATAAGAAAGGAAAGAGTGCAGAACAGTAAAATCAAAAAATTCAAAGAGGGCTTAGGAGACAGAGAAAATCAATACATGAAAAAATTCACCTGCTGAGAGGGCGAGAGAAAGGACTGAGAGAAATAGAGAGAATAGAAAAGAGAGTAGAGAAGGGCCACAAATGATAAGCCCGCATAAAAAGAGAGTTTGAAAGAGGAGGCCAAAATGATAAGATATATGAGAACCGAGAGATGTTAGGAGAAATATTTTTTTTGAAAGAAAGGGAGAGGCTTGAGAGGACAAAGAAAAAGAGACTTTTTTTTTTAGAAAAGTTGAGAAAGAGAGTAGAGAAGGGCCACAAATGATAAGCCCGCTGAAATATAAGTGGTAGAAAGACTAAGTGAGTGTCAGAGAGAAAGAGAAAAATCAATACATGAAAATTCACTGAGAGGGGGAGAGAGAGACAGAGAGAAAATAGAGAGAAAGAAATACAGGTTGAGAAAGAGAGTAAAGAGGAGCTACGGCTGATAAGCCCACTGAGTGAGTGTCAAAGTGAAGAGAAGAATCAATACATGGACATTAACTGAGAGAGGGGCTGAGAGAAAATAGAGAGAAAGATAGAAAGGTTGAGAAAGAGAGTAAAGAGAGACCACGATTGATAAGCCCACTGAGATGTAGACGGGAGAAAGAAAGTGAGTGTCAGAGAGAAATAAGAAAGGTGGATTTAAGGAAGATAGCATAAAAAAACATCTACAAGACTATTAAAAGGAAAGAATGAGAGAGAGGGAGAGAGAGAGAGAAGGGATAAGGAAGAGGAAGTGGTAAAGAAAACAAAGAGTGGAAGAAATAGCAATGAAAAAATGAGTCAGTAGGAAAAGAATATACCAAGAAAGAGAGAAAAATTATGCATGTAAGATCACTGAGAGAGGGAAAGAGAGTGAACTGAGAGAGAGAAAAAAAAGAAAGTTGGAAAAAGAAAGAGAGTAAAGAGAAACATCACCACTAACAGCCCACTATAACGTAAGAAACAACATAAATTTAAGACTTCCAACATCAGTAAAAACTAAAATGAATCGCACATATCTCTCGAAAAGAAAATGATGACATAATGGCAAACATGAATAAACATGGACGCAATAAGACGTCTTATCAAAACGACAGTTTTTCGCATGACACCGCTTTTTGAACAACCTTCAGTCTTTGGTGATGTTTATTGTTTTAAAAAGCGATGAATAGAATTGGAATAAAAGGTAAACATATGACGAAAGTGAATTTTTACATTTTCTTTATAGCAAAAATATTAAACATTGTTTATTTATTGAATTGTTTATTTACAAGAATGATTTTATATTTACTACACTCTAAAAATACAATTAAAACTAATGCGATTCAATATTTATCATTTACCAATTTATGAAGAAATAAATGTGAAAACAATTTGAGATTTATAGATAATTTATAATTAATAAACATTTACTAAATTATAAATAGATAAACCAACTATAAGAAAATCCTTATTTACCATTTTATAAAGCTTGAATCTATTGCCAATTAGCGGTAGCCGATGTTTTGCAAAACATAGCAATAAATAAAAATAAATTGTGTAAATAAACAATCTAATAAATAAATAATGTTCATTATTTTTGTTGTCAATTCTCAAGAACAAAGAAAATATATAAATTCAATTTCATGTGTTTAGGTTTTATTACACTACTAATGATCGCTATTTTAAAACAATAAACATTGCCGAAGAGTAAGTATGTCCACTGTTTTCGCGGAAAAACAGCATAGCGTAAATGAAAAATGCCACAAACTTAAAGAAAATAAAGTATTATCGTCAAAATGCTTATGTTATTATTAAGATGAAAGAAAAAAGTATTTTTTAATTATTTTTGAAATTTTTAATATTTTCTAACACGTTCGAAATTTTGGTTAAATTCGTCTTTGTTTACGTCATCGCGCGGTGACGTTTAAAATAACAGTTTTTTTTATGTTTTTTACCGTTGAAAACATATTGATTTGGAAATTCTTGTAAAAATAAAATAATTGTCCAATCTTAATGAAATTTTCAGGACTTATTCACAAATGAATGAAATTATTTTTGAAATATTTTGTTTTTAGAAAATTTTGGTAAAAAATATTTACATTGAGCACTAATTTGTAAAAAAAAAATATCAATAAGAACACCGGATTATATATCTTACTGGACCGTGCGCATGTGAAGTCGCATCAACGTAAACAAACCTAGTCCAATGAAATCATAAGAAAGAAAATTTGTCATACGAAACATTTTCCACTTCGTCATACATCTTTACTCTAAAACTGTTCTGGGTATATAATCATTTATATGTGAGTATTTCATCTCTCTCTCTCTCTCTCTCTCTCTGTATATATATATATATATATATATGTATAGCCTTACTGTATGTGAAAAAATTGCGCTCTGAAGATGACAATTTGAAATTGTCAAAAGTACTTGGTTGGCAAGAGTCCATTTGACAACTAGAATATAAGGATCTTATTATTCAAGGAATTGATATTAAGGTAATGTCTCATTAAGTCTTGCTGGCGAAGTGATTTCGTCATTAATAACATTAACACTGCTATTTAATTCTTTGAATAAATTGTTTATTTATGATATAAAATATAAGCTACGTACTCTAATATATTTTATCTATATCTATATCTATATATATATAATGAAATATATATATATATATATATATATATAATGAAATATATATATAATGAAATACATATAATGAAATATATATATATAATGAAAATATTGTTATAGATTTCGTATCAGCTTGCACTGAATATTTTTGCTATTGACAATTTAGAAATAATATTTTCTCATATGAAAATAGATAATTGTTTTCATAGAAATGCAAAAAGTATTCTATTGCTAAATCAATTTAAAATCTCCGTTATTTTTGACGGAACATTGAAACTAGTGTTAACATAACTGAGGTGTTTTCTTTAAACAGATAATGATTAGATTCACACTTTGGAAGTGTTATGGGTTTTACAGGAATTTGACAATACAAGGGAGCGATATTCACAGATAGATAGAAAGAGAGAGAGAAAGAGAGAGAGAGAGAGACAGAAAGAGAGAGAGAGAGATTGATGGAAAACAAAGGATAGGAGATAGAAAAAGTAAAGAGGCTGAAAGTGAAAACAATGAATTGGATAGAGATGCAGAAAAAAAAAATGAAAATCAGTGCGATTTTTGAATTTATTTTGCTGTGCGTAGATTTCATTATAAAAAACAAAACAAAAAAAAGAAGATATTTTCTATTGAAAACCTCCAAAATAAATTTCGGTATTCATTTGTTAATCTGTTGAGTAAAAAATGTTTTATTTTCTTCTTTTTAGTATTGTTTATCGCATCATCTTTTCGGCGAGTCTCCAGCGTCTCCTATTTTATATTGAATTCCTTCTATTTAGTTGATTCAAATGCAAAAGATATTTGATTTTTTTGTTGATGACGCGCTAACCTCATTATTTTGCATTCAGTGAAAAAATAAAAAATAAAACTGATAATAAACAAAGAAAATTATTAATTCTAACTGAAGCTTTGTCGGCGTTAAAATTAAGACGAAATCTTTTGTGTTCGGATTTATTGATAAACAATTGGTTTCTTAATTATATTTTGTCCTGATTTTTTAATTCAAATTCAATATTTTAATGCAACTGACGTGTCTTATTCGATCAAAACTCTTCTAATTCAAACCGAAGAGTTATAGATTTTACAAGCTTTTGAAAATACAAAATAAGAGAAATTATATTTGCCTGTGCGTTGACACATATATGTACCCCACCCCCCAATAGAGAAATAAGAAAATACATTCACGCATCACCGTTCGTTAAATTTTGGTCTATATTGATTAAACTATATAGTATAAGATTTCAAAATAAATAATCTATTTTTTTTGGTAAAAAAAAGAAAGTTAGAGAACAAGAGGAATGCGGGTTTACCCAACTTGTCTGACAAAGGACTTCTGCTAAACCCCCGTAGATGGCTTTGACAAATGAATATATTAAAAAAAAGGGAGCAAGGTCTTATTTTTTATATTTTAACTAAAAGCTATACTTAGATTTTGATTTGTTTTTTGCTTCTCTTGGGGGCCTTTGGTTCTCATTGAACTTCTTTGCATTGAACACAACACAGAATACTACACAGTATACTAATCTTGATTTTTTGTTGATGACGCGCTAACCTCAATTTCTATCGAGTGATTAGACCGTTCAAATCTCACCATGGTCGATTTTTCAGGACAGTACCTGTCTGTAGGGCGCGATCTCAGCGTGTGGCACCTTTGAAATGTTCTTTAAAACCATACCAAGAGTTGAGCCAAGACTTTTGATTGAACTTGGGTAGATTGAGCCATCGGTGACTGTGCTAGCCCGAAGTCCCAATTCATGTGCTAGTCTTGTTCAAACTGCCGATCACACTAGATAACCCGATCTCACTTTCCCTCAGCATAGTTGCAGTATAAACCACTGATGGGTTCTGTAGGTGTTGAACAAACATAAATCTGCCTGAGCAGTTGCCATCAATGGTGACTGGGGATTAGCTAGCCTACCTAGTGAATTCCAGTGCCTGCGCCATTTACTAATCATATTTATCTAATTCTAACTTATGTATGCTACATAGCCGTACCTAATAATTCTATTACCAGACCAACAAATGTCTCTCAACATAACTACTCCGAACTACACATACAATTGCCAAGAAGAGTCGTATGTTTTGTACTTCGGATCGTGGAGAAAATTGTAGCTGACGGAAGGTACACAAGTCGATACACGATCAATATTGGCTGGGTCACCGCGGAGAGGGGGATATGATGTTGAAAGACCCGAAACCACTAAAGAACCACGGCTAGAAACATTACTGATGATGTGTACTAAAGCATCCAATAGATGTATTTTACGAAATATCACGATCATGAATCCCGTATCCGTTGGGGTCGTAGAAGCACCATATCGACCGCAGTGATGACAGCAGTGGTGTGTTTTGTACAAGCCAGCGTGATAGGCTGGTTTGAATTCAGTTTTCATTTTCCTAGACTGGTTAGGTCCCAGTCTGTCCTGTTGCTTACACATAGCTGAAAGGGGAGATGGATTCATATACTTCCCAAGGTTATTATCACTGGAATTTGAATTCAAGCATCTGATTCCTCAATCCGGGTCTGGATTCATTATTTCACTTTACCTTCTTGGGAAGAAACTATCCAAATAAAAGCTTATTTTTTTTATTGCCAATAAAATACGAAATACACATCCGCGTACATGACTGTTAGCTGTAATGGTGAAAACTGGTGAAAATAAGGAATTTAACCCGCCGGAATATATTCAATAGAAATAGCGATATACGTGTTTCCTTACGAGTGTCGGAAACTGTTGCATGGAAAATAATTCATCAACAACAAGACAGAGTAAGTTGTTCTGAACTTTGTCACGACTATAAATTGATGATTGTGCAGCTCCAATCCAACTATGGCGGTAATACTCATTTTTTGTCTGATCTGACTCTTACAAATTCACGTGGGATCAGGTACCACACCTACTATTCTCT